TATAGGGGAGTGTTCACCTGGTCTAGTGGTATAACTGGTTCTGTATAGGGGAGTGTTCGCCTGGTCTGGTGGTATAACTGGTTCTGTATAGGGGAGTGTTGTCTAGTGGTATAACTGGTTCTGTATAGGTGAGTGTTCACCTGGTCTACTGGTTTTGTATAGATGAGTGTTCACCTGGTCTAGTGGTATAACTGGTTCTGTATAGGGGAGTGTTCACCTAGTCTGGTGGTATAACTGGTTCTGTATAGGTGAGTGTTCACCTGGTCTGGTGGTATAACTGGTTCTGTATAGGTGAGCGTTGTCTAGTGGTATAACTGGTTCTGTATAGGGGAGTGTTCACCTGGTCTAGTGGTATAACTGGTTCTGTATAGGGGAGTGTTCGCCTGGTCTGGTGGTATAACTGGTTCTGTATAGGGGAGTGTTCGCCTGGTCTGGTGGTATAACTGGTTCTGTATAGGGGAGTGTTCACCTGGTCTAGTGGTATAACTGGTTCTGTATAGGGGAGTGTTCGCCTGGTCTGGTGGTATAACTGGTTCTGTATAGGGGAGTGTTCACCTGGTCTACTGGTTTTGTATAGATGATTGTTCACCTGGTCTAGTGGTATAACTGGTTCTGGATAGGGGAGTGTTCACCTAGTCTGGTGGTATAACTGGTTCTGTATAGGGGAGTGTTCACCTGGTCTAGTGGTATAACTGGTTCTGTATAGGGGAGTGTTCACCTAGTCTGGTGGTATAACTGGTTCTGTATAGGGGAGTGTTCACCTGGTCTAGTGGTATAACTGGTTCTGTATAGGGGAGTGTTCACCTGGTCTAGTGGTATAACTGGTTCTGTATAGGGGAGTGTTCACCTGGTCTAGTGGTATAACTGGTTCTGGATAGGGGAGTGTTCACCTGGTCTTGTGGTATAACTGGTTCTGTATAGGGGAGTGTTCACCTGGTCTAGTGGTATAACTGGTTCTGTATAGGTGAGTGTTCACCTGGTCTAGTGGTATAACTGGTTCTGTATAGGGGAGTGTTCACCTGGTCTAGTGGTATAACTGGTTCTGTATAGGGGAGTGTTCACCTGGTCTGGTGGTATAACTGGTTTTGTATAGATGAGTGTTCACCTGGTCTAGTGGTATACCTGGTCTAGTGGTATAACTGGTTCGGTATAGGGGAGTGTTCACCTGGTCTAGTGGTATAACTGGTTCTGTATAGGGGAGTGTTCACCTGGTCTGGTGGTATAACTGGTTCTGTATAGGTGAGCGTTGTCTAGTGGTATAACTGGTTCTGTATAGGGGAGTGTTCACCTGGTCTAGTGGTATAACTGGTTCTGTATAGGGGAGTGTTCGCCTGGTCTGGTGGTATAACTGGTTCTGTATAGGGGAGTGTTCACCTGGTCTAGTGGTATAACTGGTTCTGTATAGGGGAGTGTTCGCCTGGTCTGGTGGTATAACTGGTTCTGTATAGGGGAGTGTTCACCTGGTCTACTGGTTTTGTATAGATGAGTGTTCACCTGGTCTAGTGGTATTTCTGGTTCTGTATAGGGGAGTGTTCACCTAGTCTGGTGGTATAACTGGTTCTGTATAGGTGAGTGTTCACCTGGTCTGGTGGTATAACTGGTTCTGTATAGGTGAGCGTTGTCTAGTGGTATAACTGGTTCTGTATAGGGGAGTGTTCACCTGGTCTAGTGGTATAACTGGTTCTGTATAGGGGAGTGTTCGCCTGGTCTGGTGGTATAACTGGTTCTGTATAGGGGAGTGTTCGCCTGGTCTGGTGGTATAACTGGTTCTGTATAGGGGAGTGTTCACCTGGTCTAGTGGTATAACTGGTTCTGTATAGGGGAGTGTTCGCCTGGTCTGGTGGTATAACTGGTTCTGTATAGGGGAGTGTTCACCTGGTCTACTGGTTTTGTATAGATGATTGTTCACCTGGTCTAGTGGTATAACTGGTTCTGGATAGGGGAGTGTTCACCTAGTCTGGTGGTATAACTGGTTCTGTATAGGGGAGTGTTCACCTGGTCTAGTGGTATAACTGGTTCTGTATAGGGGAGTGTTCACCTGGTCTGGTGGTATAACTGGTTTTGTATAGATGAGTGTTCACCTGGTCTAGTGGTATACCTGGTCTAGTGGTATAACTGGTTCGGTATAGGGGAGTGTTCACCTGGTCTAGTGGTATAACTGGTTCTGTATAGGTGAGCGTTGTCTAGTGGTATAACTGGTTCTGTATAGGGGAGTGTTCACCTGGTCTAGTGGTATAACTGGTTCTGTATAGGGGAGTGTTCGCCTGGTCTGGTGGTATAACTGGTTCTGTATAGGGGAGTGTTCGCCTGGTCTGGTGGTATAACTGGTTCTGTATAGGGGAGTGTTCACCTGGTCTAGTGGTATAACTGGTTCTGTATAGGGGAGTGTTCGCCTGGTCTGGTGGTATAACTGGTTCTGTATAGGGGAGTGTTCACCTGGTCTACTGGTTTTGTATAGATGATTGTTCACCTGGTCTAGTGGTATAACTGGTTCTGGATAGGGGAGTGTTCACCTAGTCTGGTGGTATAACTGGTTCTGTATAGGGGAGTGTTCACCTGGTCTAGTGGTATAACTGGTTCTGTATAGGGGAGTGTTCACCTGGTCTGGTGGTATAACTGGTTTTGTATAGATGAGTGTTCACCTGGTCTAGTGGTATACCTGGTCTAGTGGTATAACTGGTTCGGTATAGGGGAGTGTTCACCTGGTCTAGTGGTATAACTGGTTCTGTATAGGGGAGTGTTCACCTGGTCTGGTGGTATAACTGGTTCTGTATAGGTGAGCGTTGTCTAGTGGTATAACTGGTTCTGTATAGGGGAGTGTTCACCTGGTCTAGTGGTATAACTGGTTCTGTATAGGGGAGTGTTCGCCTGGTCTGGTGGTATAACTGGTTCTGTATAGGGGAGTGTTCACCTGGTCTAGTGGTATAACTGGTTCTGTATAGGGGAGTGTTCGCCTGGTCTGGTGGTATAACTGGTTCTGTATAGGGGAGTGTTGTCTAGTGGTATAACTGGTTCTGTATAGGTGAGTGTTCACCTGGTCTACTGGTTTTGTATAGATGAGTGTTCACCTGGTCTAGTGGTATAACTGGTTCTGTATAGGGGAGTGTTCACCTAGTCTGGTGGTATAACTGGTTCTGTATAGGTGAGTGTTCACCTGGTCTGGTGGTATAACTGGTTCTGTATAGGTGAGCGTTGTCTAGTGGTATAACTGGTTCTGTATAGGGGAGTGTTCACCTGGTCTAGTGGTATAACTGGTTCTGTATAGGGGAGTGTTCGCCTGGTCTGGTGGTATAACTGGTTCTGTATAGGGGAGTGTTCGCCTGGTCTGGTGGTATAACTGGTTCTGTATAGGGGAGTGTTCACCTGGTCTAGTGGTATAACTGGTTCTGTATAGGGGAGTGTTCGCCTGGTCTGGTGGTATAACTGGTTCTGTATAGGGGAGTGTTCACCTGGTCTACTGGTTTTGTATAGATGATTGTTCACCTGGTCTAGTGGTATAACTGGTTCTGGATAGGGGAGTGTTCACCTAGTCTGGTGGTATAACTGGTTCTGTATAGGGGAGTGTTCACCTGGTCTAGTGGTATAACTGGTTCTGTATAGGGGAGTGTTCACCTAGTCTGGTGGTATAACTGGTTCTGTATAGGGGAGTGTTCACCTGGTCTAGTGGTATAACTGGTTCTGTATAGGGGAGTGTTCACCTGGTCTAGTGGTATAACTGGTTCTGTATAGGGGAGTGTTCACCTGGTCTAGTGGTATAACTGGTTCTGGATAGGGGAGTGTTCACCTGGTCTTGTGGTATAACTGGTTCTGTATAGGGGAGTGTTCACCTGGTCTAGTGGTATAACTGGTTCTGTATAGGTGAGTGTTCACCTGGTCTAGTGGTATAACTGGTTCTGTATAGGGGAGTGTTCACCTGGTCTAGTGGTATAACTGGTTCTGGATAGGGGAGTGTTCACCTGGTCTAGTGGTATAACTGGTTCTGTATAGGTGAGTGTTGTCTAGTGGTATAACTGGTTCAACTGAGTTAGCGGAAGCAGACATCTATCTACATGAAAATCTATAGTGCAACAATTTAAAACACTCAACTCCACAATTTAATCAAGAAACGAAATCAAAGCATGTACAATTGACAGTGCATTCACAGTTCACCAAATAGACGTGCAACTACTCTGCTTTCCACCTGACAATTTGGTATTGCACTTGCAGGCTTGTTAATAAATTAATGACTGCAGAAACATAATATATAGCCTAGTGAAAATCCCTTCATTAGTATTTACATGATCTCAAATGGAGACCTCTTATTATCCAAATCTGTAGTGTTCTTCAGATTCCCTTTATCCTGACAACTGATGTGGGTGTTATACTACTGTGAATAGCTAACTGGTTGAACATGTTTCCCGGTCCAAGAGCAATCCCTCTTGTTTGCTGGCATATCAAAGCTCCGTCCCAAAATGACTCATAGGGGCTCTGGTCTAAAGTAGTGCACTACATAGGGAATAGGGTGCCGTTTGGGACGCAAACCCCTGGTCAAATGTAGTGCACTATGGTCAAAAGTAGTGCACTACATAGGGAATAGGGTGCAGTTTGGGATGTAGCCACTGGTCAAAAGTAGTGCACTACATAGGGAATAGGGTGCAGTTTGGGATGTACCCACTGGTCAAAAGTAGTGCACTATATAGGGAATAGGGTGCTATGTTTGATACATTTTCTCAGGTGTCCTGGTTAAGTCTATAGTGCAGAATACTGTATTTTATCAAACTTTACTGTGACTACTATTTAAGTCTTTCTAGAATGATCAGATCTCTACACTCAGTGGCCAGTTTATTAGGTACACCACCCCGTTCACGAAAATGGTTAGATGGACCTGATACACTGGGGGTCCGACCCGGTACCAGATGGACCAAATACACTGGGGGTCCGACCCGGTACCAGATGGACCTAATACACTGGGGGTCCGACCCGGTACCAGATGGACCTAATACACTGGGGGTCCAACCCGGTACCAGATGGACCTAATACACTGGCCAATGAGTGTCTTTATCTATTATTATGGAGACTAACCAAGGGACTGTTTTTATGTGTTGAAATTCAGAAGAATACCAGCAAGCTAGCGGATGGAAGTTAGACTAAAGTATTTCCCCCCAAAAATGTGTTCTGCTATTTTACACCATCACCCAAAACAACCTTACACAATCTGTATGCTTGAATATTCAGAAAGGTATCATTCACTGAGCGAGCACCCACAATTAAACATGATTTTTTTTAAACATTCAGGATAATAAACAGAACAGAACGAACAGCATAAAGTCTAAAACACATCCAGTTCCAGAAATGCTAAAACTAAAATGTAATAATAATATTATTCCCGGGGTTAAACTTAGATGGCGGGTCTGCGTTTCACATTCACTGGTAGGATCTACAGCAGGGTTGGCCTATCAGAGTTTGGGAGGCAAATCAGTTTTCAATTCAGGACGTGAATCGATAAAATGGCAATTTCTTTTCTATGAGGATTTTCTAAATTCAAGAAAATGTACTGAATTGAGAAATGAATCGATCCCAAGTCGCCCTGTGAGCCAAGCAACAGAACACTAATAGGGTGCGTCGCAAACCACAAACTATTCCCCTTCACGGTGCACTACTTTCACCCAGAGTCCAATAGCGTGTAGTGCACTAAACAGGGAATAGTGTGTAGTGCACTAAATATGTAACGGAAGCTCAGTTCTTCTTCATGGAGTCCAGCATGCGGAGGATGTGCAGGAAGAGGTTAACGATGTCCAGGTACAGGTTAATGGAGGCTAGGACGTGCTCCTCGGGGGACAGCTGGTGCATCAGGAGGTGGGTGTCATAGATGATGAAACCACAGAACAACAGAGCTCCTGCACCGGCAAACACCAGCTCCACCGTGTCGTTCTGGAAGAAGAGCTAGGGGGGGGGGGGGGAGGTGGGGAGGGGGGGGGGGGGGGGGGGGGGGGGGGGAGAGGAGACTCAAGATTAAACTGTGGACAGATGGATTGACTGACGGATGGATTAAGGATGGATGGATGATAGATGGATGACTGACTGACTGACTGACACAACAAGGCATCGATGAGGAATGACTACTTAATGGATAATGTAGAAATAATGGATGTTGAAAAGAGTGGTAATGATCTACCTCTACTGTAGTAGTAACCACTACCTGAAGGAAACCACCTCTACTGTAGTAGTAACCACTACCTGAAGGAAACCACCTCTACTGTAGTAACCACTACCTGAAGGAAACCACCTCTACTGTAGTAGTAACCACTACCTGAAGGAAACCACCTCTACTGTAGTAGTAACCACTACCTGAAGGAAACCACCTCTACTGTAGTAGTAACCACTACCTGAAGGAAACCACCTCTACTGTAGTAACCACTACCTGAAGGAAACCACCTCTACTGTAGTAACCACTACCTGAAGGAAACCACCTCTACTGTAGTAGTAACCACTACCTGAAGGAAACCACCTCTACTGTAGTAGTAACCACTACCTGAAGGAAACCACCTCTACTGTAGTAACCACTACCTGAAGGAAACCACCTCTACTGTAGTAACCACTACCTGAAGGAAACCACCTCTACTGTAGTAACCACTACCTGAAGGAAACCACCTCTACTGTAGTAGTAACCACTACCTGAAGGAAACCACCTCTACTGTAGTAGTAACCACTACCTGAAGGAAACCACCTCTACTGTAGTAACCACTACCTGAAGGAAACCACCTCTACTGTAGTAACCACTACCTGAAGGAAACCACCTCTACTGTAGTAACCACTACCTGAAGGAAACCACCTCTACTGTAGTAGTAACCACTACCTGAAGGAAATCACCTCTACTGTAGTAGTAACCACTACCTGAAGGAAACCACCTCTACTGTAGTAGTAACCACTACCTGAAGGAAACCACCTCTACTGTAGTAGTAACCACTACCTGAAGGAAACCACCTCTACTGTAGTAACCACTACCTGAAGGAAACCACCTCTACTGTAGTAACCACTACCTGAAGGAAACCACCTCTACTGTAGTAACCACTACCTGAAGGAAACCACCTCTACTGTAGTAGTAACCACTACCTGAAGGAAACCACCTCTACTGTAGTAACCACTACCTGAAGGAAACCACCTCTACTGTAGTAGTAACCACTACCTGAAGGAAACCACCTCTACTGTAGTAGTAACCACTACCTGAAGGAAACCACCTCTACTGTAGTAACCACTACCTGAAGGAAACCACCTCTACTGTAGTAACCACTACCTGAAGGAAACCACCTCTACTGTAGTAGTAACCACTACCTGAAGGAAACCAGATTTGAACAGTAAACAGAAACAGTGAAAAGGACTAAACTCACCTTCATGAAACCAGCGATGATCAGGATCCACAGGCCAGAGAACAGTCTGGAACAAAATGAAGGTTCAGATTCTGTTCCTAGTGTTCAACCATTGGATACCTATTACACCTTGTCTGCAGTTGACAACAATACAGTTGTGGATCCTGTTGTCGATACAGTTGTGTGTGAAGCTTTATCAAGAAGGGGCCTCCCGAGTGGCTCAGCGGTCTAAGGCACTGCATCACAGTGCTAGAGGCGTCACTACAGACCCGGGTTCATTCCCGGGCTGTGCCACAACCGGCCGTGAGTCCCATAGGACGGGGCACAATTGGCCTAGCGTAGTCCGGGTTAGGGGAGGGTTTGGCCGGGGGGGCTTTACTTGGCTCGTCACGCTCTAGCGACTCCTTGTGGCGGGCCGGGTGGCTGCAGGCGGACCTCGGTCGCCAGTTGAACGGTATTTCCTCTGACACATTGGTGTGGCTGGCTTCCGGGTTAAGCTGGCGGGTGTTAAGGACCGCGGTTAGGCGGGTCATGTTTTGCATTTTACCGCCCTTTTTCTCCCCAATTTCCGATCTTGTCTCACCGCTGCAACTCCCCAACGGGCTCTGGCTCATGAGAACCTTCGCCTCTCCAGAGCCCGTTGGGGAGTTGCAGCGGTGAGACAAGATCGGAAATTGGGGAGAAAAAGGGCGGTAAAATACAAAATAAAGGACTAAAATAAGAAGGGGTCTTAGTGGCTCCTATGGTCATAACATGAGACAGCACTAACACATCTGGGACCAGGCTAGCTCTGGGTGTTTACAAATCACCTCTAAATAAACAGGTCATATATCTGTAGCAGTGTAGCAGTGAGCAGCTATAATAACAGGTAATATATCTGTAGCAGTGTAGCAGTGAGTAGCTATAATAACAGGTAATATCTGTAGCAGTGAGTAGCTAACAGGTAATATATCTGTAGCAGTGTAGCAGTGAGTAGCTATAATAACAGGTAATATCTGTAGCAGTGAGTAGCTAACAGGTAATATATCTGTAGCAGTGAGTAGCTAACAGGTAATATATATGTAGCAGTGTAGCAGTGAGCAGCTATAATAACAGGTAATATATCTGTAGCAGTGTAGCAGTGAACAGCTATAATAACAGGTAATATATCTGTAGCAGTGTAGCAGTGAGTAGCTATAATAACAGGTAATATCTGTAGCAGTGAGTAGCTAACAGGTAATATATCTGTAGCAGTGTAGCAGTGAGTAGCTATAATAACAGGTAATATCTGTAGCAGTGAGTAGCTAACAGGTAATATATCTGTAGCAGTGAGCAGCTATAATAACAGGTAATATATCTGTAGCAGTGTAGCAGTGAGCAGCTATAATAACAGGTAATATATATGTAGCAGTGTAGCAGTGAACAGCTATAATAACAGGTAATATATCTGTAGCAGTGTAGCAGTGAGTAGCTATAATAACAGGTAATATCTGTAGCAGTGAGTAGCTAACAGGTAATATATCTGTAGCAGTGTAGCAGTGAGTAGCTATAATAACAGGTAATATCTGTAGCAGTGAGTAGCTAACAGGTAATATATCTGTAGCAGTGAGCAGCTATAATAACAGGTAATATATCTGTAGCAGTGTAGCAGTGAGCAGCTATAATAACAGGTAATACATCTGTAGCAGTGTAGCAGTGAGCAGCTATAATAACAGGTAATATATCTGTAGCAGTGTAGCAGTGAGCAGCTATAATAACAGGTAATATATCTGTAGCAGTGTAGCAGTGAGTAGCTAACAGGTAATATATCTGTAGCAGTGAGCAGCTATAATAACAGGTAATATATCTGTAGCAGTGAGCAGCTATAATAACAGGTAATATATCTGTAGCAGTGTAGCAGTGAGTAGCTAACAGGTAATATATATGTAGCAGTGTAGCAGTGAGTAGCTAACAGGTAATATATCTGTAGCAGTGTAGCAGTGAGCAGCTATAATAACAGGTAATATATCTGTAGCAGTGTAGCAGTGAGAATCTAACAGGTAATATATCTGTAGCAGTGTAGCAGTGAGCAGCTATAATAACAGGTAATATATCTGTAGCAGTGAGCAGCTATAATAACAGGTAATATATCTGTAGCAGTGAGCAGCTATAATAACAGGTAATATATCTGTAGCAGTGTAGCAGTGAGTAGCTAACAGGTAATATATGTAGCAGTGTAGCAGTGAGTAGCTAACAGGTAATATATCTGTAGCAGTGTAGCAGTGAGCAGCTATAATAACAGGTAATATATCTGTAGCAGTGTAGCAGTGAGTAGCTAACAGGTAATATATCTGTAGCAGTGTAGCAGTGAGCAGCTATAATAACAGGTAATATATATGTAGCAGTGTAGCAGTGAGCAGCTAACAGGTAATATATCTGTAGCAGTGTAGCAGTGAGTAGCTAACAGGTAATATATCTGTAGCAGTGTAGCAGTGAGCAGCTATAATAACAGGTAATATATATGTAGCAGTGTAGCAGTGAGCAGCTATAATAACAGGTAATATATCTGTATCAGTGTAGCAGTGAGTAGCTAACAGGTAATATATATGTAGCAGTGTAGCAGTGAGTAGCTAACAGGTAATATATCTGTAGCAGTGTAGCAGTGAGCAGCTATAATAACAGGTAATATATCTGTAGCAGTGAGTAGCTAACAGGTAATATATCTGTAGCAGTGAGCAGCTATAATAACAGGTAATATATCTGTAGCAGTGAGCAGCTATAATAACAGGTAATATATCTGTAGCAGTGAGCAGCTATAATAAATAGGTAATATATCTGTAGCAGTGAGTAGCTAACAGGTAATATATATGTAGCAGTGTAGCAGTGAGTAGCTAACAGGTAATATATATGTAGCAGTGAGCAGCTAACAGGTAATATATCTGTAGCAGTGAGCAGCTAACAGGTAATATATCTGTAGCAGTGAGCAGCTATAATAACAGGTACTATATCTGTAGCAGTGTAGCAGTGAGTAGCTAACAGGTAATATATATGTAGCAGTGTAGCAGTGAGTAGCTAACAGGTAATATATCTGTAGCAGTGTAGCAGTAAGCAGCTATAATAACAGGTAATATATCTGTAGCAGTGTAGCAGTGAGCAGCTATAATAACAGGTAATATATCTGTAGCAGTGTAGCAGTGAGTAGCTAACAGTTAATATATATGTAGCAGTGAGCAGCTAACAGGTAATATATCTGTAGCAGTGAGCAGCTAACAGGTAATATATCTGTAGCAGTGAGCAGCTATAATAACAGGTAACATATATGTAGCAGTGTAGCAGTGAGTAGCTAACAGGTAATATATATGTAGCAGTGAGCAGCTAACAGATAATATATCTGTATCAGTGTAGCAGTGAGCAGCTATAATAACAGGTAATATATCTGTAGCAGTGTAGCAGTGAGTAGCTAACAGGTAATATATCTGTAGCAGTGAGCAGCTAACAGGTAATATATCTGTAGCAGTGTAGCAGTGAGCAGCTAACAGGTAATATATATGTAGCAGTGTAGCAGTGAGTAGCTAACAGGTAATATATCTGTAGCAGTGTAGCAGTGAGCAGCTAACAGGTAATATATATGTAGCAGTGTAGCAGTGAGTAGCTAACAGGTAATATATCTGTAGCAGTGTAGCAGTGAGTAGCTAACAGGTAATATATCTGTAGCAGTGAGCAGCTAACAGGTAATATATCTGTAGCAGTGAGCAGCTAACAGGTAATATATCTGTAGCAGTGAGCAGCTATAATAACAGGTAACATATATGTAGCAGTGTAGCAGTGAGTAGCTAACAGGTAATATATATGTAGCAGTGAGCAGCTAACAGATAATATATCTGTATCAGTGTAGCAGTGAGCAGCTATAATAACAGGTAATATATCTGTAGCAGTGTAGCAGTGAGTAGCTAACAGGTAATATATCTGTAGCAGTGAGCAGCTAACAGGTAATATATCTGTAGCAGTGTAGCAGTGAGCAGCTAACAGGTAATATATATGTAGCAGTGTAGCAGTGAGTAGCTAACAGGTAATATATCTGTAGCAGTGTAGCAGTGAGTAGCTAACAGGTAATATATCTGTAGCAGTGTAGCAGTGAGTAGCTAACAGGTAATATATATGTAGCAGTGTAGCAGTGAGCAGCTAACAGGTAATATATATGTAGCAGTGTAGCAGTGAGCAGCTAACAGGTAATATATATGTAGCAGTGTAGCAGCTAACAGGTAATATATATGTAGCAGTGTAGCAGTGAGCAGCTAACAGGTAATATATATGTAGCAGTGTAGCAGTGAGCAGCTAACAGGTATTATATATGTAGCAGTGTAGCAGCTAACAGGTAATATATATGTAGCAGTGTAGCAGCTAACAGGTAATATATATGTAGCAGTGTAGCAGCTAACAGGTAATATATATGTAGCAGTGTAGCAGTGAGCAGCTAACAGGTAATATATATGTAGCAGTGTAGCAGTGAGTAGCTAACAGGTAATATATATGTAGCAGTGTAGCAGCTAACAGGTAATATATCTGTAGCAGTGAGCAGCTAACAGGTAATATATATCTAGCAGTGTAGCAGTGAGAAGCTAACAGGTAATATATATGTAGCAGTGTAGCAGTGTAGCAGCTAACAGGTAATATATATGTAGCAGTGTAGCAGCTAACAGGTAATATATATGTAGCAGTGTAGCAGCTAACAGGTAGGTCTGCATCCGAAATGGGACCCTATTCCCTACATAGTGCACTACTGTTGAAAAAGAGGGTGCCATTCCGGACGCAGCCAGGTCTCAGGAGTTTAAGGCCTCTTACCCAGCTCCCAGTTTACTGAAGTCTCTCTTAGACTGGAAGGTGTAGGCAGTCAGCCCAAGGAACACCGCTGCTGTGAGGAAGAAGGCCTGGAGCACGATGGAGTACTCATAGAAGGTCACTACAGGGACGAACACAAACACATGGTTGATTCACAATGTATAGGAGGGAACAAACAACATGGCCTGCGTCTGGAATGGCACCCTATTTCCTGTTAAGGGCACTACTTAGTGACCCTATTCCCTATAAAAGGACACTACTTAGTGACCCTATTCCCTATAAAGGACACTACTTAGTGACCCTATTCCCTATAAAGGACACTACTTAGTGACCCTATTCCCTATAAAGGACACTACTTAGTGCCCCTATTCCCTATAAAGGACACTACTTAGTGCACCCTATTCCCTATAAAGAACACTACTTAGTGAACCATATTCCCTATAAAGAACACTACTTAGTGACCCTATTCCCTATAAAGGACACTACTTAGTGACCCTATTCCCTATAAAGGACACTACTTAGTGACCCTATTCCCTATAAAGGACACTACTTAGTGACCCTATTCCCTATAAAGGACACTACTTAGTGACCCTATTCCCTATAAAGGACACTACTTAGTGCACCCTATTCCCTATAAAGGACACTACTTAGTGACCCTATTCCCTATAAAGGACACTGCCTAGTGACCATATTCCCTATAAAGGACACTACTTAGTGACTATTCCCTATAAAGGGCAATACTTAGTGACCCTATTCCCTATAAAGGACACTGCTTAGTGCACCCTATTCCCTATAAAGGACACTGCTTAGTGCACCCTATTCTCTATAAAGGACACTACTTAGTGACCCTATTCCCTATAAAGAACACTACTTAGTGACCCTATTCCCTATAAAGGACACTACTTAGTGCACCCTATTCTCTATAAAGGACACTACTTAGTGACTATTCCCTATAAAGGGCACTACTTAGTGACCCTATTCCCTATAAAGGACACTACTTAGTGCACCCTATTCCCTATAAAGGACACTACTTAGTGCACCCTATTCCCTATAAAGGACACTGCTTAGTGCACCCTATTCCCTATAAAGGATACTACTTAGTGACCCTATTCTCTATAAAGGACACTCCTTAGTGACCATATTCCCTATAAAGGACACTACTTAGTGACCCTATTCCCTATAAAGGACACTACTTAGTGACCCTATTCCCTATAAAGGACACTACTTAGTGCACCCTATTCCCTATAAAGGACACTACTTAGTGACCCTATTCCCTATAAAGGACACTACTTAGTGACCATATTCCCTATAAAGGACACTACTTAGTGACCCTATTCCCTATAAAGGACACTACTTAGTGACCCTATTCCCTATAAAGGACACTACTTAGTGACCCTATTCCCTATAAAGGACACTACTTAGTGACCCTATTCCCTATAAAGGACACTACTTAGTGACCCTATTCCCTATAAAGGGCAATACTTAGTGACCCTATTCCCTATAAAGGACACTACTTAGTGCATCCTATTCCCTATAAAGGACACTACTTAGTGACTATTTCCTATAAAGGGCACTACTTAGTGACCCTATTCCCTATAAAGGACACTACTTAGTGCACCCTATTCCCTATAAAGGACACTACTTAGTGCACCCTATTCCCTATAAAGGACACTACTTAGTGACTATTTCCTATAAAGGACACTACTTAGTGACCCTATTCCCTATAAAGGACACTACTTAGTGACCCTATTCCCTATAAAGGACACTACTTAGTGCACCCTATTCTCTATAAAGGACACTGCTTAGTGACCATATTCCCTATAAAGGACACTACTTAGTGACTATTCCCTATAAAGGACACTGCTTAGTGACCATATTCCCTATAAAGGACACTACTTAGTGACTCTATTCCCTATAAAGGACACTACTTAGTGACCCTATTCCCTATAAAGGATACTACTTAGTGACCCTATTCCCTATAAAGGACACTACTTAGTGACCCTATTCCCTATAAAGGACACTACTTAGTGACTATTCCCTATAAAGGACACTACTTAGTGACTATTCCCTATAAAGGGCAATACTTAGTGACCCTATTCCCTATAAAGGACACTGCTTAGTGCACCCTATTCCCTATAAAGGACACTACATAGTGACCCTATTCCCTATAAAGGACACTACTTAGTGCACCATATTCCCTATAAAGGACACTACTTAGTGACCCTATTCCCTATAAAGGACACTACTTAGTGATTCTATTCACTATAAAGGACACTACTTAGTGACCCTATTCCCTATAAAGGACACTACTTAGTGACCCTATTACCTATAAAGGACACTACTTAGTGACCCTATTCCCTATAAAGGACACTACTTAGTGCACCCTATTCCCTATAAAGAACACTACTTAGTGAACCATATTCCCTATAAAGAACACTACTTAGTGACCCTATTCCCTATAAAGGACACTACTTAGTGACCCTATTCCCTATAAAGGACACTACTTAGTGACCCTATTCCATATAAAGGGCAATACTTAGTGACCCTATTCCATATAAAGGGCAATACTTAGTGACCCTATTCCCTATAAAGGACACTGCTTAGTGCACCCATTCCCTATAAAGGACACTACTTAGTGACCCTATTCCCTATAAAAGGACACTACATAGTGACCCTATTCCCTATAAAGGACACTACTTAGTGACCCTATTCCCTATAAAGGACACTACTTAGTGCACCCTATTCCCTATAAAGGACACTACTTAGTGACCCTATTCCCTATAAAGGACACTGCTTAGTGACCATATTCCCTATAAAAGGACACTACTTAGTGACCATATTCCCTATAAAGGACACTACTTAGTGACCCTATTCCCTATAAAGAACACTACTTAGTGACCCTATTCCCTATAAAGGACACTACTTAGTGACCCTATTCCCTATAAAGGACACTACTTAGTGACCCTATTCCCTATAAAGGACACTACTTAGTGCACCCTATTCCCTATAAAGGACACTACTTAGTGACCCTATTCCCTATAAAGGACACTACTTAGTGACCCTATTCCCTATAAAGAACACTACTTAGTGACCCTATTCCCTATAAAGGACACTACTTAGTGACCCTATTCCCTATAAAGGCCACTACTTAGTGACCCTATTCCCTATAAAGGCCAGTACTTAGTGTACCCTATTCCCTATAAAGGACACTACTTAGTGACCCTATTCCCTATAAAGGACACTACTTAGTGCACCCTATTCCCTATAAAGAACACTACTTAGTGACCCTATTCCCTATAAAAGGACACTACTTAGTGACCCTATTCCCTATAAAGGACACTACTTAGTGACTATTCCCTATAAAGGGCACTACTTAGTGCACCCTATTCCCTATAAAGGACACTGCTTAGTGCACCCTATTCCCTATAAAGGACACTACTTAGTGACCCTATTCCCTATAAAGGGCACTACTTAGTGACCCTATTCCCTATAAAGGACACTACTTAGTGAACCCTATTCCCTATAAAGGACACTACTTAGTGACTCTATTCCCTATAAAGGACACTACTTAGTGACCCTATTCCCTATAAAGGACACTACTTAGTGACTATTTCCTATAAAGGACACTACTTAGTGACCCTATTCCCTATAAAGGACACTACTTAGTGACCCTATTCCCTATAAAGGACACTACTTAGTGCACCCTATTCCCTATAAAGGACACTGCTTAGTGCACCCTATTCCCTATAAAGGATACTACTTAGTGACCCTATTCTCTATAAAGGACACTGCTTAGTGACCATATTCCCTATAAAGGACACTACTTAGTGACTATTCCCTATAAAGGACACTGCTTAGTGACCATATTCCCTATAAAGGACACTACTTAGTGACCCTATTCCCTATAAAGGACACTACTTAGTGACTCTATTCCCTATAAAGGACACTACTTAGTGACCCTATTCCCTATAAAGGATACTACTTAGTGACCCTATTCCCTATAAAGGACACTACTTAGTGACCCTATTCCCTATAAAGGACACTACTTAGTGACTATTCCCTATAAAGGACACTACTTAGTGACTATTCCCTATAAAGGGCAATACTTAGTGACCCTATTCCCTATAAAGGACACTGCTTAGTGCACCCTATTCCCTATAAAGGACACTACATAGTGACCCTATTCCCTATAAAGGACACTACTTAGTGCACCATATTCCCTATAAAGGACACTACTTAGTGACCCTATTCCCTATAAAGGACACTACTTAGTGATTCTATTCACTATAAAGGACACTACTTAGTGACCCTATTCCCTATAAAGGACACTACTTAGTGACCCTATTACCTATAAAGGACACTACTTAGTGACCCTATTCCCTATAAAGGACACTACTTAGTGCACCCTATTCCCTATAAAGAACACTACTTAGTGAACCATATTCCCTATAAAGAACACTACTTAGTGACCCTATTCCCTATAAAGGACACTACTTAGTGACCCTATTCCCTATAAAGGACACTACTTAGTGACCCTATTCCATATAAAGGGCAATACTTAGTGACCCTATTCCATATAAAGGGCAATACTTAGTGACCCTATTCCCTATAAAGGACACTGCTTAGTGCACCCATTCCCTATAAAGGACACTACTTAGTGACCCTATTCCCTATAAAAGGACACTACATAGTGACCCTATTCCCTATAAAGGACACTACTTAGTGACCCTATTCCCTATAAAGGACACTACTTAGTGCACCCTATTCCCTATAAAGGACACTACTTAGTGACCCTATTCCCTATAAAGGACACTGCTTAGTGACCATATTCCCTATAAAAGGACACTACTTAGTGACCATATTCCCTATAAAGGACACTACTTAGTGACCCTATTCCCTATAAAGAACACTACTTAGTGACCCTATTCCCTATAAAGGACACTACTTAGTGACCCTATTCCCTATAAAGGACACTACTTAGTGACCCTATTCCCTATAAAGGACACTACTTAGTGCACCCTATTCCCTATAAAGGACACTACTTAGTGACCCTATTCCCTATAAAGGACACTACTTAGTGACCCTATTCCCTATAAAGAACACTACTTAGTGACCCTATTCCCTATAAAGGACACTACTTAGTGACCCTATTCCCTATAAAGGCCACTACTTAGTGACCCTATTCCCTATAAAGGCCAGTACTTAGTGTACCCTATTCCCTATAAAGGACACTACTTAGTGACCCTATTCCCTATAAAGGACACTACTTAGTGCACCCTATTCCCTATAAAGAACACTACTTAGTGACCCTATTCCCTATAAAAGGACACTACTTAGTGACCCTATTCCCTATAAAGGACACTACTTAGTGACTATTCCCTATAAAGGGCACTACTTAGTGCACCCTATTCCCTATAAAGGACACTGCTTAGTGCACCCTATTCCCTATAAAGGACACTACTTAGTGACCCTATTCCCTATAAAGGGCACTACTTAGTGACCCTATTCCCTATAAAGGACACTACTTAGTGCACCCTATTCCCTATAAAGGACACTACTTAGTGACTCTATTCCCTATAAAGGACACTACTTAGTGACCCTATTCCCTATAAAGGACACTACTTAGTGCACCCTATTCCATATAAAGGACACTACTTAGTGACTCTATTCCCTATAAAGGGCACTACTTAATGACTCTATTCCCTATAAAGGACACTACTTAGTGCACCCTATTCCCTATAACTAAGTAGTGTCCTTTATAGGGAATAGTCCCTAAGTAGTGCCCTTTATAGGGAATAGGGTCACTAAGTAGTGCACTATATAGGGAATAGGATGCCATGTCAGATGCAGGCACTGTGTGAAGCCTGTGGTGTTGTGAAGCCTGTGGTGTTGCTATGGAAACTGATATATTTCCTGAGGAGAACCATAAGCTATAAATAATATCATATTACTAATGAGATCAGAGGTGTCTCACAGTACATTAACTAATTTATTATTTCTTGAGACACAAACAGAATGAATTAAACGTCATTAATAAAGAGGCGTTGGATATTTTCAACGAAAACATAAAATACAACTTTACAAGAGATGACTTGACATCAAGCGGGGAAGAACTCACCTGCGGTAGCAACAGAGACGGACTCCAACAGAGTCTGAAAGAGACAAAGAAAACAATGTTAGGTTAAACTAATTCCCTACATAGTGCCCTACATTTAACCAGAACCCTATGGGCCCTAGTCAAAAAGTAGTGCACTATATAGGGAATAGGGTGCCATTTGGGACGTAGCCTGTGCAAATCAGAACTTACGAATGCGGCAAGCAGGTATAGGTTAATGGGGTGTTGATGTCTGTAGAAGGCTAGGGCAACGATCAACACCAGGGAGCCGATGGCTGACACCAACACTACAGCTGGACTGGGGGGGGGGACAGAACCAATGAGAAAGTCAGAACCAAGCCAACCAGGCACAGTGTTGTACAGATTATACTACTGCACATCTGGTTGTGCTCTTGTCTCTTGCATTCTCCACTGCATGTTCCATAAGGAGTTGGGCAAGATGGCAGAAACAGACTTGACACCCAGGCTGGAGAGATTAGTATTATAGTAGGGTAGTAATTCTATGTAGTCGTAGCCAAAGTGCATGTCTCCTCACAGTATATGAATACATGCACAATACTGGTGTATAGGGCTCTGTGGGGGGGGGGTCGAGGATTGGCGTACATTCATTTTTTTCCCTCAAAAATGAATGTATGCCTATTTTAACGGTTATTTTATTTTCATGCCGGTCTTCATCCATAACCGGCGATTACCATGGTTACAGCACTAGTGGTGTATGCATGCAACTATCCGAATGTACTAATATCTGTCATAACAATATTGTTACCCCTCTACCACAGTGTTTCCCAGATATGCCCATTGAATTATGTAGGCCTACTAATAGTTCACAATTTACCTTGAATGGACAAAGTCCTTGATGGTGTCACAGAACATGAAGAGAGCAGAGGTAGCCGTGGTCAGGATGATCTGAAGGGACAGGATGGTGTACACCTTGCGCAGGAAATCTGTTCAAGGGGAGAGAGAATAGATCGATAGCTAACTTACTGACATCATGATTTAATTTAGTTAAATTCTAGACCAGCAGATTTATCTGATTCTGTCATTTAGTTAGATACCACCACAATAAATATCACATCGTTTATTTCATTTGGCAAGGCATGATCTAGATATATTGATAAAATGGCTCGCTTGTTAGCAACCATCATCAGCTAGGCTAGTTGAGTAAATAGACTACAACGGGTCTTCTCTTACCCATCCGGATTTGCACACTCGCAGTCGCAACGTTTGTCCCATAGTTGAAATCATCTTCAATAGAAGACCGAGGGTATTTTTCAGGTGTAGTCATTTTGATCCAGCTTTAATTGAGAGTAAAATACTGTCTGATGTTTTGTGTTTTGGGGCCCTTGCTCAGCTGTTTCCGTAGACGTGCGTCAAGTTCAGTCCACTTCCGGCTTGGTTTGTAAACGTTCGTCATGTGACATGGCTCGTGATTTCTGTGAAACATGCAATACCAAAACACACCACTAACTGTCGACAAAAGGGGTCATTTTCAGGAAACTATTAAAACAGTAGAGAACAGTCGTGGTCAAAAGTTTAGAGAATGACACAAATATAAATGTTCACAAAGTCTGCTGCCTCAGTTTTTATGATGGCAATTTGCATATACTCCAGAATGTTATGAAGAGTGATCAGATGAATTGCAAAGTACCCCTTTGCCATGAAAATTAACTTAATCCCCCAAAAAAACATTTCCACTACATTTCAGCCCTGCCACAAAAGGACCAGCTGACATCATGTCAGTGATTCTCTCGTTAACACAGGTGAGCGTGTTGACGAGGACAAGGCTGGAGATCACTCTGTCATGCTGATTGAGTTAGAATAACAGACTGGAAGCTTTAAAAGGAGGGTGGTGCTTGAAATCATTGTTCTTCCTCTTAACCATGGTTACCTGCAAGGAAACATGTGCCGTCATCATTGCTTTGCACAAAAATGGCTTCACAGGCAAGGATAATCCGGCTAGTAAGATTGCACCTAAATCAACCATTTATCGGATCATCAAGAACTTCAAGGAGAGAGGTTCAATCAACCCAAGAAAGTCCAGCAAGTGCCAGGACCATCTCCTAAAGTTGATTCAGCTGCAGGATCAGGGCACCACCAGTGCAGAGCTTGCTCAGGAATGGCAGCAGGCAGGTGTGAGTGCATCTGCACGCACAGTGAGGCGAAGGCTTTTGGAGGATGGCCTGGTGTCAAGAAGGGCAGCGAGGAAGCCACTTCTCTCCAGGAAAAACATCAGGGACAGACTGATATTGTGCAAAAGGTACAGGGATTGGACTGCTGAGGACTGGGGTAAAGTCAATTTCTCTGATGAATCCCCTTTCCGATTGTTTGGGGCATCTGGAAAAAAGCTTGTCCGGAGAAGACAAGGTGAGCGCTACCATCAGTCCTGTGTCATGCCAACAGTAAAGCATCCTGAGACCATTCATGTGTGGGGTTGCTTCTCAGCCAAGGGAGTGGGCTCACTCACAATTTTGCCTAAGAACACAGCCATGAATAAAGAATGGTACCAACACATCCTCCGAGAGCAACTTCTCCCAACCATCCAATAACAGTTTGGTGACGACCAATGCCTTTTCCAGCATGATGGAGCACCTTGCCATAAGGCAAAAGTGATAACTAATTGGCTCGGGGAACAAAACATCGACATTTTGGGTACATGGCCAGGAAACTCCACAGACCGTAATCCCATTGAGAATTTGTGGTCAATCCTCAAGAGGCGGGTGGACAAACAAAACCCCACAAACTCCAAGCATTGATTATGTAAGAATGGGCTGCCATCAATCAGGATGTGGCCCAGAAGTTAATTGACAGCATGCCAGGGCGGATTGCAGAGGTCTTGAAAAAGAAGGGTCAACACTGCAAATATTGACTCTTTGCATAAACGTAATGTAATGGTCAATAAAAGCCTTTGACACTTATGGAATGCTTGTAATTATATTTCAGTATACCCATAGTAACATCTGACAAAAAATATCTAAAAACACTGAAGCAGCAAACTTTGTGAAGACCAATACTTGTGTCATTCTCAAAACTTTCGACCACGACTGTAGACTATGCTCAACTTGATGTTGAAACTCAAATTGGTATGTGTATTGTGTCCTAGGGTGGTCTAATGGTCTAAACCGGACATGTCTACGGTGTCGGCAAGGGTTCAAATCCGTCCTACTGCCGGACACAAAATATATTTCCCCACGGTTATCCTCCCGCTCTCTTTGTTAAAAAAAATAATCAGAAAATACCTTAGAAATACACGTATATTTTTTAAAAGACATACATGCATTGTAATATTGTATCCAGTAATGGTGTGTAACCATTATTGCAGCTTTTCACTGTAATTACTAATATATTAGATAAATGGAGGCATAAAATATTGAAAAGCTAGCACTTCTACTATTCTATTTTATTCTATTTATTTTTTTCTTCTCAAAATGGATGCTAAGTGAAATAACATTATCTCATGACATCCATGTTAAATCGAAAGTGCGATGACGGTAACTCACCTGGATTTCAGGTTATTTCCAGACTATAGTCCTCCCCAATAAACAATCTAACCTGTGCCGCTTTCTTTAGCCTAGCAACTGAAATACACCATTTTTGATTGGCTTTTAAAAAAGAGAAGAGGCGGTCCTAGAGAGCATTTATACGACTGTCTGCCATACGTCCAGTTAGGTTATTTCTACAGCCAGGTCCAGACAGACAGATAGACAGCTAGCCATTCTCTGGTTTATTTGAGTACGAATAATTCCGGATTAGACCCAAAAAAAAATGAAGTCTATTCTGTCAATCGTTGTACTTGGGCTCATTTACAGTGCTGTGGAGTCCAAAGAATGTAAGTATCTTGATTTATAAAGTCAACGCAACGTTTGGAAATGCATGGCATTATCGATTTCTTGCCATCCGGTTGTTTGTAGGCTGTTTATATTTTAGTTTTTAACGTTTTTTACTAGGATATTTATTTGTATACAAAATTGATTACTTTTTTTTTTAGAGTTTATAAAACACTTTCTTGTATTAAACCCTACCTTCGATGATCATGTCATGTGGGAGGGAATACACCAAAACCTTGAGCCCTACCTAAATAATTTGAATGAACCCTTTGCCATTTTTGCTAGATAATCATTATTTCTACATCCTAATCCTTGATTTTTAATGTAGGCCTCAACTATTTGCTGGCATGCATGTACACTGTTGTGAGATGTGTGTTGAACACGTCACCTAATGTAAAGTTTTTAACCTTGATCAGAATATAAGTGATTGTTTTCAGTAGATCGGTTATATCTTACCTGGTGTAGGCCAACAATGACATGATGTCACATTTTGTTATGGTTGGAAATCCCCTCCGGATTTTACTTTCACTTTGAGTGAAATGGTTGCTGTCTATGGCAGCCATTATGGGTCAGGGCCATCATAAATTAGATATTACTGCACTGTCGGAGCTAGAAGCAGAAGCATTTCGCTACACCCGCAATAACATCTGCTAAACACGCGTATGTGAAAATTACAATTTGATTTGAAATGGTTGCTGTCTTTGGCAGCCAGTATGGGTCAGAACCATCACAAATGGCTGATAACTCAGACCTTTGTCCCTAAGTGTACTTTACTAGGAAATAACTTGGTGAAAATATATAGCATACCTGTGTGAAATGTCAATTAATATATTTATGTATTCCAATACCTGCAAATGGCATAATACAACTTGAACGAATGAAAACCTACGAATCTCCCTGTTGCCTATCCTTTTGTGTTACTATCAGCTCCCCCCAAGGTGCAGGTGTACAGCCGTAACCCAGGGGATTATGGGAAGGACAACACCCTGATCTGTCACGTGAGTGGCTTCCACCCCCCTGACATCAGCATCCAGCTCCTGAAGAACGGCATGGAGATCCCCAACGCCAAGCAGACAGACCTGGCCTTCGAACAGGGCTGGCAGTTCCACCTCACCAAGAGTGTTGCCTTCAAACCAGCCAGCGGAGAGGAGTACACCTGCAGAGTCCGCCACCTGAAGAATCTGAAGACCTACACCTGGGGTGAGTTACTTTAGTATTTCCTCCTCCTTGATTAACCCTGGCTCCTGCGTTTATGTGTGACTGTCACCTGCAGAAGCCAACCACTAGACCTGGGCCCTGTACAGAAGCCCCCTACCCCTTAGAATCACTTGTGGAGAGGTTGAAAGAATTTGGTTTAGGTTGAACCTTTCCTTCTGATTGACTAGATGGAATTTTCGTGCCACAGTGACTACAACTCAAGTTGAAGTTTCCACTTTTTATTTGTCCCAGAGAGGGCAATTTGGTTTTTGCAGCAGAGGAGCACGAGATATAAAAATAATATAAAATCGTAATGGATTACAATGATACTGAATACAGTGGGCTAGTACAGCAGTCATGGGCTGACTGGCCAATCCTCTCAGATCTCCACAAGAGTCTAAGGAGGAAGGACAGGGGTTGTTTCTGGACAGGGCCCTGGAGAGCTAGGTGCGTTATGTGGTACGTTGGTTTAGATACCAATGGATGAGCGGTTTAGTTACAGTAACAAGACTGATTCCATGTAGACATTTAGTTAGTGGAAGTCTGAATGTATAACAGTGCTTTCTGTGTTGTTGTGTTTTTTCTCCAGAGGCTGATATGTAAGGATCTGGAGCAGGATTTACTGGTATGTATTCTGCTGAGTTTATTTATTGAAACTATCTAATTAGATTAACATTTTAACATTTTTAAATAGATTAAATCAGAACTAAACCTCATACCTTTACCCTTCTATCTTAACAGGGTGCCATTCCATCTGTGGCCGTCCAATCCGTACCACCCCCCTACACTAGAGCTGAGATGACTTAACTTCCCCTCTCAACATGGGCTTTAGTTTTCATGTTTGGTAACACTTTGTGCCAAGGGGCCAGTTTCAAGGGTTTCGAATTGAAAATGATTAAACACAAAATTATTTGATTTTGGGCAAGCGATTGTTTATTGACATAGCAACACTGCTGATACACATTCTCTCAATCTAAGTCACTTCTTTAAAAAACGATCATCAAGGCTTTATCAAGCGTTTTTATTTTTGGATTTTAAAAAAACATTAATTTCCTTGAAATTGGCACCATTAGATTTTAATACTTTTCTTCTCAAAATGGAAATAAATAAAACAAACTCCACAACTTGCACTATTTGAATGTGCTTTTATCTACAAGCAAAAATCAGCAACAGTGTAATGTAAAGTCAGATATTTGATCAACATATATATTTTTTTAAAAGCCCAAATAATTTTAGAGGAGGCCCACGTGATATGTATTTGTGTGCCTTGTAAATATCAACGTCCTTTTTGGTTTGAAGTCATTTTTATCAACATAACATCTCATCTTCTGTCTATCCTTCAACATTCCTGTAAATTACCAGTTATCAACAGTCTAATAAATGGGGCCTTTTTACAGGAATATTTTTGATAAGTAGAGAACTGTAATTTCGTTACTTTAAAAAAAAATACTAGTTTGTTCTGTCTTTGGGTGTGATATACAACACTGTTCTGTTGAGTTTGATTAAAAAATTAATTGTAAACTATTTACATTAATTGGCTATTTGATTAAATGTTTTTAATTTAAAGAAATACAAAATCATTGAACAAAAATGCACTTTGTTGTATTTGTTGGTATTTCTTGATTAAATGTCTAAGTAAGGACTTGTTGTGACTGACTCAGTAATGTTCAAAAGCCATTTTTGAGAAGTTATATTATTATGAGTAAATCATTCAATCAGTAATGTACTTGTAATAAGCTACTCCCATTGTCAAGGCAGGTAGGCAATACATGCAGAGCTGTAGTCTACAGCATTATATAATGGGTGATGATGCAATGTTGACATTTCAGATCATACATGTATACACTATTGCCATTCTTTCTCTCAATGCAAAACATGTCCATTATTGTAATTGGTAAAGTGAAGATTACATCAACTTTGTAACTGACTATCCTGGTCATGGCTAGAAGGGATACAGCTTTTATCAAAGTCAGGGCAGCTTTTTTTTGTGCATTTTAGCTAACCCTTTTCCTAACCTTATCCAAATTCTCCTAACCTGCTACGTTAATTCTCCTAACCTGCTGTGTAAATTCTCCTAACCTGCTACGTTAATTCTCCTAACCTACTACGAAAAGTCAATTCTGATGTTAATTTGACAAAAGCTGTTTCCTTTCTAGCCCTGTAACCTTTTTGGTCTCAGGTTAAGGATAGGCACAAAGTTAGCAGTGTGCTTATGGTTAGATTAATTGTGGAAATGGGTGGGGTTTAGCCATAATTATGACTTTGTGGCTGTGTTAACTAGTGACGACCCCTTGATCAACCTAGAGAAACATCGAGAGGTGAAGCCTGCATAGCAACTGTGAAGTAGGATTTTCAATTGGTGCATCAATCGAAGGGGGGTGCGGCTTTACTATGTTTTAGGAAAACAGTAATTTTACTTTCACCTTTCATCAGACATCAGCTGCGAAGTTTTATATATATTTTTACATTGGAAAGACTTTGGAAAAAGAAATCATGAAAACTGTTTTGTCCGTGGTCGCTTTCTGCGTCATCCTGGGGTTCATAAACGCAAAAGAATGGAAGTAGATAAAGTAAAGCGGATATCACTTTGTCGTCACGATTACTGATGACATTGTCTGTGTCACCCGTGCCGTTCGTGAAAACAATGATATATTTCCTTAACTGTGTTTTAAGTGAACAATAACAATAATAATAATATGCCATTTGTCGTAGTAAATATATAATGTTATAGCTTGGTCTGACTAAAATCTTGTGCATGACCCATCTTGTGTTGGGCCTTTGGATTTAATACAATGCACAAAGACTTCTATCTTGTCGGCCTTATCAGCAGGTGGCTATGGACAACACCCACGCCATAGGTCTCTCAGTTCTCCCAACTCACGACTTCTTGCTCTGAGGACATACACACACACACCCCCACACACACACACACATCATCATTGTTAAACATACACACACATACACACACACACACACATACACACACGCACACACACACACACATCATCATTGTTAAACATACACACACATACACACACACACACACACACACATACACACACGCACACACACACACACACATCATCATTGTTAAGCACACACACACACAAAAAACCCCTTCTCTTAGGCTGAACATCTGAAGACAGAGAACCCGACTCAGAGCCAATGCAATGGAGGTGACCTCGACCAACTCATCAGGACCAATCAGAAGATCAGAACTACTAGAATCAACCTACTTTATTTTATTGTATAAAATGTCAGCACACAATGTTTAGGGGCTCGCTCTCAGATATCTCCCTACGAGGTTGACGAACGGGTCCGTGCACGCTATTTACAGATATCTTTACCTCTGAATAAACTGCCTTATATTATACAATTATCCACCTTGTCCGAAAGTCTCTACTTGGTCTCCGTTCTCCAGTAAACTTGTGATCATCAACACATTTAGCAGACGTTTTTATCCAAAGCGACTTACAGTCATGCGTGCATATTTTTTTTTGTGTATGGGTGGACCCGGGGATCGAACCCACTACCCTGGCGTTACAAGCGCTGTGCTCTACCAGCTGAGCTACAGAGGACCAATAAGCCTAGTATTAGGCAACTTTATTTTTATTTGATAAACATTTACCCCGTACAAACGCATTGAATAACACATTCATAAAAGGCAAAAAGTCTCAAAATAAATCATAAGGTTTTGAAGTGTGTTTTATATCTTGGAGATATAAGAGACCTCAGGAAATATTTACTTTTTTGGGGACGTATTTAACCCCATGTTTTTGGCACAAAACTACCTCAATACTTCCATTTGTTTGTATGGGTTGAAGAGTCCCATGACACTTATGGGTGTCATAGAGCAAAACGTGTTGGTGAGAGTCTCCCCTTTCCACCGAGGGGTCGTAATAGTTTGTAGGCCAAATGGTTCGGACACTACAGAGGGTTTCGTGAGATTAACGATTGCGTAAATAGACTCTTAAGGATTTTAACCAGTTCGTTTGAAATCAATGAGATCGAGATCTTGAAAACCTCAACTACATTTACCTGAGCAGAGAGATGACTATTTTCCTTATAGAGTAAGAATATGACAACTTCTGTGATACACTGTGTGTATGTGTGTGTCTCTGTCTGCATACCTGCCTGACTGTGTGTGTTTCTCTGTCTGCATACCTGCCTGACTGTGTGTGTTTCTCTGTCTGCATACCTGCCTGACTGTGTGTGTGTCTCTGTCTGCATACCTGCCTGACTGTGTGTGTGTCTCTGTCTGCATACCTGCCTGACTGTGTGTGTGTCTCTGTCTGCATACCTACCTGACTGTGTGTGTGTCTCTGTCTGCATACCTACCTGACTGTGTGTGTCTCTGTCTGCATACCTACCTGACTGTGTGTGTGTCTCTGTCTGCATACCTACCTGACTGTGTGCTTCTCTGTCTGCATACCTACCTGACTGTGTGTGTTTCTCTGTCTGCATACCTACCTGACTGTGTGTGTCTGCATACCTACCTGACTGTGTGTGTGTTTCTCTGTCTGCATACCTACCTGACTGTGTGTGTCTCTGTCTGCATACCTAATTCCAGTCTGAGGTCCTGAGCGTTCTGGAGCAGGTTTTCATCAAGGATCTCTCTGTACTTTGCTCTGTTCATCTTTCTCTCGATCCTGACTAGTCTCCCAGTCCCTGCCGCTGAAAAACATCCCCACAGCATGATGCTGCCACCACCATGCTTCACTGTAGAGATGGTGCCAGGTTTCCTCCAGATGTGACGCTTGGCATTCAGGCCAAAGAGTTCAATCTTGGTTTCATCAGACCAGAGAATCTTGTTTCTCATGGTCTGAGAGTCTTTAGGTGCCTTTTGGCAAACTCCAAGCAGGCTTTCATGTGCCTTTTACTGAGGAGTGGCTTCGATCTGGCCACTACCATAAAGGCCTGATTGGTGGAGTGCTGCAGAGATGGTTGTCCTTCTGGAATGTTCTCCCATCTCCACAGAGGAACTCTGGAGCTCTGTCAGAGTGACCATCGGGTTCTTGGTCACCTCCCTGACCAAGGCCCTTCTCCCCTGATTGCTCAGTTTGGCTGGGCGGCCAGCTCTAGGAAGAGTCTTGGCGGTTCCAAACTTATTTGATTTAAGAATGATGGAGGCCACTGTGTTCTTGGTGATCTTTTGTTGTGCTTTTTATTTTTATTTAGGGGGTAGAAGGGTTACTTTTATACTATCCCAGGTATTCCTTAAAGAGGTAGGGTTTCAAGTGTCTCCGGAAGGTGGTCAGTGACTCCGCTGTCCTGGCGTCGTGAGGGAGCTTGTTCCACCATTGGGGTGCCAGAGCAGCGAACAGTTTTGACTGGGCTGAGCAGGAACTGTGCTTCCGCAGAGGTAGGGGGACCAGCAGGCCAGAGGTGGAAGAACGCAATGCCCTCGTTTGGGTGTAGGGTCTGATCAGAGCCTGAAGGTAAGGAGGTGCCATTCCCCTCACAGCTCCGTAGGCAAGCACCATGGTCTTGTAGCAGATGCGAGCTTCAACTGGAAGCCAGTGGTGTGTACGGAGGAGCGGGGTGACGTGAGAGAACTTGGGAAGGTTGAACACCAGACGGGCTGCAGCGTTCTGGATGAGTTGTAGGGGTTTAATGGCACAGGCAGGGAGCCCAGCCAACAGTGAGTTGCAGTAATCCAGACGGGAGATGACAAGTGCCTGGATTAGGACCTGTGCCGCTTCCTGTATAAGGTAGGGTCGTACTCTGCGAATGTTGTAGAGCATGAACCTACAGGATCGGGTCACCGCTTTGATGTTAGCGGAGAACGACAGGGTGTTGTCCAGGGTCACGCCAAGGTTCTTTGCACTCTGGGAGGAGGACACAACGGAGTTGTCAACCGTGATTGCGAGATCATGGAGCAGGCAGTCCTTCCCCGGGAGGAAGAGTAGCTCCGTCTTGCCGAGGTTCAGCTTGAGGTGGTGATCCGACATCCACACTGATATGTCTGCCAGACATGCAGAGATGCGATTCGCCACCTGGTTATCAGAAGGGGGAAAGGAGAAAATTAATTGTGTGTCGTCTGCGTAGCAATGATAGGAGAGACCATGTGAGGATATGACAGAGCCAAGTGACTTGGTGTATAGAGAGAATAGGAGAGGGCCTAGAACTGAGCCCTGGGGGACACCAGTGGTGAGAGCATGTGGTGTGGAGACAGATTCTAGCCACGCCACCTGGTAGGAGCGACCTGTCAGGTAGGACGCAATCCAAGAGTCAGCCGCGCCGGAGATGCCCAACTTGGAGAGGGTGGAGAGGAGGATCTGATGGTTCACAGTATCAAAGGCAGCAGATAGGTCTAGAAGGAAAAGAGCAGAGGAGAGAGAGTTAGCTTTAGCAGTGCGGAGAGCCTCAGTGACACAGAGAAGAGCAGTCTCAGTTGAATGACCAGTCTTGAAACCTGACTGGTTTGGATCAAGAAGGTCATTCTGAGAGAGATAGCAGGAGAGTTGGCTATAGACGGCACGCTCAAGAGTTTTGGAGAGAAAAGAAAGAAGGGATACTGGTCTGTAGTTGTTGACATCGGAGGGATCGAGTGTAGGTTTTTTGAGGAGGGGTGCAACTCTCGCTTTCTTGAAGATGGAAGGGACATAGCCAGCGGACAAGGATGAATTGGTGAGCGAGGTGAGGTAAGGGAGAAAGTCTCCGGAAATGGTCTGGAGAAGAGAGGAGGGGATACGGTCAAGCGGGCAGGTTGTTGGGCGGCCGGCCGTCACAAGTCGCAAGATTTCATCTGGAGAGAGAGTGGAGAAAGAAGTCAAAGCATAGGGTAGGGCAGTGTGAGCAGGACCAGCGGTGTCATTTGACTTAATAAATGAGGATCGGATGTCGTCAACCTTCTTTTCAAAATGGTTGACGAAGTCATCCACAGAGAGGGAGGAGGGAGGGGGGGGGGGGGGGGATTCAGCAGGGAGGAGAAGGTGGCAAAGAGCTTCCTAGGGTTAGAGGGGTTATTACCCCAGCACAAGGTGCACCTGTGTAATGATCATGCTGTTTAATCAGCTTCTTGATATGCCACACCTTTCAGGTGGATAGATTATCTTGGCAAAGGAGAAATGCTCACTAACAGGGATGTAAACACATTTGTGTACAACATTTGAGAGAAATAAGCTTTTTGTGCGGTATGGAACATTTTCTGGGATCTTTTATTTCAGCTCATGAAACATGGGACCAACACTTTACATGTTGTGTTTATATTTTTGTTCAGTGTACATACACCATACTTTATTATGACTATACTGTACATGGCCTTTCACCATACTTTATTATGGCTATACTGTACATGGCCTACCTTTCACCATACTTTATTATGGCTATACATGGCCTACCTTTCACCATACTTTATTATGGCTATACATGGCCTACCTTTCACCATACTTTATTATGGCTATACATGGCCTACCTTTCACCATACTTTATTATGGCTATACATGGCCTACCTTTCACCATACTTTATTATGGCTATACATGGCCTACCTTTCACCATACTTTATTATGGCTATACATGGCCTACCTTTCACCATACTTTATTATGGCTATACATGGCCTACCTTTCACCATACTTTATTATGGCTATACATGGCCTACCTTTCACCATACTTTATTATGGCTATACATGGCCTACCTTTCACCATACTTTATTATGGCTATACATGGCCTACCTTTCACCATACTTTATTATGACTATACTGTACATGGCCTTTCACCATACTTTATTATGACTATACTGTACATGGCCTTTCACCATACTTTCTCTCAATGCATTACATGTGCAACATTGTAACTGATAAAATGAAGACTGCATCCACTTTGTAACTGACTGCATCAGGCTTCCTAAAGAAACATCTAGAGAAGACGACATAGCAACTGTGATGTAGGATTTTCGATTGGTGCATAAATCGAAGTGGGTGCGGCTTCACTGCGTCGCAGTAAAATATCTATTTTACTTTCAGTTTCATCTCACCGTTTGCGACTGTCCGTTTTGGTGCAGTTTGATATATTTTTCTGCATTGGAAAGACTTGGGAAAATAAATCATGAAAACGGTTTTGTCCGTAGTTGCTTTCTGCGTCGTGTTGGTGAACATAAACGCAAAAGAATGTAAGTAAAGTAAAACTATGACTTGGTCTTTATGATTAATTCACCTTATGTGTACGAACTTGATTTGAAAGGCCTCACCCACGACGTTCGTCAAAACAATTATATATTTCCTTATGTCTTAAGTTGACAGCAAATGTGTACTTTACATGGGTTACGCTTTTAAGCAAATGTAAATTGAGCAGAGACTATTTTATTTTTATAGTGAGAATAAGTTAATCAACTTTTGTGATACTGTGTGTGTGTGTGTGCCTACCTGACTGTGTGTTTCTCTGTCTGCATACCTACCTGACTACCTGACTGCCTGACTGTGTACCATTCCCTCCTCCCCCCTGTAGCTCCCCCCAAGGTGCAGGTGTACAGCCGTAACCCAGGGGAATATGGGAAGGACAACACCCTGATCTGTCACGTGAGTGGCTTCCACCCCCCTGACATCAGCATCCAGCTCCTGCAGAACGGCAAGGAGATCCCCAACGCCAAGCAGACAGACCTGGCCTTCGAACAGGGCTGGCAGTTCCACCTCACCAAGAGTGTTGCCTTCAAACCAGCCAGCGGAGAGGAGTACACCTGCAGAGTCCGCCACCTGAAGAATCTGAAGACCTACACCTGGGGTGAGTTACTAGTATAGTTAGTAGTTAGAGGAGTACACCTGGGGTGAGTTACTAGTATAGTTAGTAGTTAGAGGAGTACACCTGGGGTGAGTTACTAGTATAGTTAGTAGTTAGAGGAGTACACCTGGGGTGAGTTACTAGTATAGTTAGTAGTTAGAGGAGTACACCTGGGGTGAGTTACTAGTATAGTTAGTAGTTAGAGGAGTACACCTGGGGTGAGTTACTAGTATAGTTAGTAGTTAGAGGAGTACACCTGGGGTGAGTTACTAGTATAGTTAGTAGTTAGAGGAGTACCCCTGGGGTGAGTTACTAGTATAGTTAGTAGTTAGATGAGTACACCTGGGGTGAGTTACTAGTATAGTTAGTAGTTAGAGGAGTACACCTGGGGTGAGTTACTAGTATAGTTAGTAGTTAGAGGAGTACACCTGGGGTGAGTTACTAGTATATAACTCCTGAGTGGCGCAGTGGTCTAAGGCACTGCATCGCAGTGCTAACTGTGTCACTAGAGATCCTGGTTCGAATCCAGGCTCTGTCGCAGCCGGCCGCGACCGGGAGACTCATGGGCGGCGCACAATTGGCCCAGCGTCGTCCAGGGTAGGGGAGGGAATGGTCGGCAGGGATGTAGCTCGTTGATAGAGCATGGCGTTTGCAACGCCAGGGTTGTGGGTTCGATTCCCACAGGGGCCAGTATAAAAAATATATATATATATATATATGTAAGTCGCTCTGGATAAGAGCGTCTGCTAAATGACTAAAATGTAAATGTAAATGTAGTTAGTAGTTAGAGGAGTACACCTGGGGTGAGTTACTAGTATAGTTAGTAGTTAGAGGAGTACACCTGGGGTGAGTTACTAGTATAGTTAGTAGTTAGAGGAGTACACCTGGGTGAGTTACTAGTATAGTTAGTAGTTAGAGGAGTACACCTGGGGTGAGTTACTAGTATAGTTAGTAGTTAGAGGAGTACACCTGGGGTGAGTTACTAGTATAGTTAGTAGTTAGAGGAGTACACCTGGGGTGAGTTACTAGTATTTAGTAGAGAGTACACCTGGGTGAGTTACTAGTATAGTTAGTATTGAGGAGTACACCTGGGGTGAGGTTACTAGTATAGTAGTAGTTAGAGGAGTACCCCTGGGGTGAGTTACTAGTATAGTTAGTAGTTAGAGGAGTACACCTGGGGTGAGTTACTAGTATAGTTAGTAGTTAGAGGAGTACACCTGGGGTGAGTTACTAGTATAGTTAGTAGTTAGAGGAGTACACCTGGGGTGAGTTACTAGTATAGTTAGTAGTTAGAGGAGTACACCTGGGGTGAGTTACTAGTATAGTTAGTAGTTAGAGGAGTACACCTGGGGTGAGTTACTAGTATAGTTAGTAGTTAGAGGAGTACACCTGGGGTGAGTTACTAGTATAGTTAGTAGTTAGAGGAGTACACCTGGGGTGAGTTACTAGTATAGTTAGTAGTTAGAGGAGTACACCTGGGGTGAGTTACTAGTATAGTTAGTAGTTAGAGGAGTACACCTGGGGTGAGTTACTAGTATAGTTAGTAGTTAGAGGAGTACACCTGGGGTGAGTTACTAGTATAGTTAGTAGTTAGAGGAGTACACCTGGGGTGAGTTACTAGTATAGTTAGTAGTTAGAGGAGTACCCCTGGGGTGAGTTACTAGTATAGTTAGTAGTTAGAGGAGTACACCTGGGGTGAGTTACTAGTATAGTTAGTAGTTAGAGGAGTACACCTGGGGTGAGTTACTAGTATAGTTAGTAGTTAGAGGAGTACACCTGGGGTGAGTTACTAGTATAGTTAGTAGTTAGAGGAGTACACCTGGGGTGAGTTACTAGTATAGTTAGTAGTTAGAGGAGTACACCTGGGGTGAGTTACTAGTATAGTTAGTAGTTAGAGGAGTACACCTGGGGTGAGTTACTAGTATAGTTAGTAGTTAGAGGAGTACCCCTGGGGTGAGTTACTAGTATAGTTAGTAGTTAGAGGAGTACACCTGGGGTGAGTTACTAGTATAGTTAGTAGTTAGAGGAGTACCCCTGGGGTGAGTTACTAGTATAGTTAAGCAATAAGGCACCTCAGGGGTTTGTGGTATATGGCCAATATATCACGGCTAAGGGTTGTTTGTTGTGTTGTGCCTGGATACAACCCTTAGCCGTGGTATATTGGCCATATCCCACAAACCCCCGAGGTGCCTTATTGCTATTATAAACTGGTTACTAATGTAATCAGAGAATTAAAAATAAATGTTTTGTCATTCCCGTGGTATACGGTCTGATATACCATGGCTGTAAGCCAATCAGCATTCAGGGCTCGAACCACCCAGTTTAGACCGTATACCATGGGTATGACAAAACATATTTTTTCTCTGTTCTAATTACATTGGTAACCAGTTTATAATAGCAATAAGGCACCTCTGGGGTTTGTGGTATATGGGCAATATACCACGGCTAAGGGCTGTGTCCAGGCACTCTGTGTTGCGTCGTGCTTAAGAACAGCCCTTAGCAGTGGTATATTGGCCATATACCACATCCCCTCGTGCGTTATTTCTTAAATATACCACGGCTGTCACCCAGTTTATAATGAGTATTTAGTAGCAGTTAGTAGATAGTGTACACCTGCAGAGTCCCTCACCTGAAGAACCTCAAGACCAAACCTGAGGTGAGCGCGCACACACACACACTGCTACGTTCCAAACCTGGGGTGACCCCCCACACACACACTGCTACGTTCCAAACCTGGGGTGAGCACACACACACACACACTGCTACGTTCCAAACCTGGGGTGAGCGCACACACACACACTGCTACGTTCCAAACCTGGGGTGAGCACACACACACACACACTGCTACGTTCCAAACCTGGGGTGAGCACACACACACACACACTGCTACGTTCCAAACCTGGGGTGAGCACACACACACACACACTGCTACGTTCCAAACCTGGGGTGAGCACACACACACACACACTGCTACGTTCCAAACCTGGGGTGAGCGCACACACACACACTGCTACGTTCCAAACCTGGGGTGACCCCCCCCCACACACACACTGCTACGTTCCAAACCTGGGGTGACCCCCCCCCCCCCCCCACACACACACACACACTGCTACGTTCCAAACCTGGGGTGACACCCCCCCCCCCCACACACACACACACTGCTACGTTCCAAACCTGGGGTGACACCCCCCCCCCCCCCCCACACACACACTGCTACGTTCCCTCTTTCAGAATCTGACTTCAGTGTGTGTGTGGGGGGTCTTGTAAGTGTGTGTGTGTGTGTGTGTATGTGTGTGAGTGTGTGAGTGAGAGTTAATCATAATATATATATATATATATATATATATATAGAAGTGCCCTTGACTGACAGAAAGCAACTTTTCCTATTTCCTCTACAGAACCAGATATGTGAGGCTTCGGTGCTCATCCCTGCAGGTGTGTATGTCTGATCATTTCATTTGTAGAGAAATAGTCTATTTATATGGCAGTTCTTTAGCTTTGGTTACTAACAACTGATGGTTTTTATTGTACTACTGTATAGAGAACTGCATAGGGCTGGGTGATATGATAGGGCTGGGTGATATGATTGGGCTGGGCGATATGACAGGGCTGGGCAATATGATAGGGCTGGGCGATATGATAGGGTTGGGCGATATGACAGGGCTGGGTGATATGATAGGGCTGGGTGATAAGATAGGGCTGGGTGATATGATAGGGCTGGGTGATATGATAGGGCTGGGTGATATGATAGGGCTGGGTGATAAGATAGGGCTGGGTGATATGATAGGGCTGGGTGATATGATAGGGCTGGGCGATATGACAGGGCTGGGTGATATGATAGGGCTGGGCGATATGACAGGGCTGGGCGATATGATAGGGCTGGGCGATAAGATAGGGCTGGGCGATATGATAGGGATGGGTGATATGGCCAAAATATCATATCACAGTATTGTTGACAGTATTTGATGTTTTCTAATAATACAAGTTCTAAATGTGCTTCGTGAGTAGTGTAGTGATGAGCACGGTTATTTTAACAATAAATTAAAATGATCCATGTTACATTGTTACACACAAGGATATACCATAACATTTGAAATGCTTAATTTAATAAAACATCAAACTTTAGAATGCAGTGTTTATGTACGGCGCATTGAGCTACTGCTGCTTCAGACGTCACGTGGCTTTGACAGAACGTTGTTTACAGTTGGCCACTTTAAATGGAGCCTACAGTTCTGAGGACAAAGTCATTGTTATATCTTCAAGCTCATTTGTCTCTCATGGGATGTGGGTTCATTTTACATGAAAAGGCATTTTACTATCACAAGGGCGGCAGGTAGCTTAGTGGTTAAGAGCGTTGTGCCAGTAACCGAAAGGTCGCTGGTTCTAATCCCCGAGCCGACTAGGTGAAAAATCTGTCGATGTGCCCTTGAGCAAGGCACTTAACCCTAATTGCTCCTGTAAGTCGCTCTGGATAAGAGCGTCTGCTAAATGACCAATTATTATTTATTTATAACGCTTTTAGCCCCTCCGGTCAACCCTGACAATGGTGTGCTATCTTCCCCACTTCAAATAGTGGTTAGTCTACAGACCACAACACTGACACAGATCAATGCAAAAACACTCACCAGAAAACGTATTTTGAAACAGAATCAGTTCTATGACATCTCTTTCACTGTTGCTGTTAGCCTAGGCTACTGTTAGCCTAAACACTGTTGCTGTTAGCCTAGGCTACTGTTAGCCTAAACACTGTTGCTGTTAGCCTAGGCTACTGTTAGCCAAAACACTGTTGTTGTTAGCCTAGGCTACTGTTTGCCTAAACACTGTTGCTGTTAGCATAGGCTACTGTTAGCCTAAACACTGTTGCTGTTAGCCAGGCTACTGTTAGCCTAAACACTGTTGCTGTTAGCCTAGGCTACTGTTAGCCTAAACACTGTTGCTGTTAGCCGGGCTACTGTTAGCCTAAACACTGTTGCTGTTAGCCAGGCTACTGTTAGCCTAAACACTGTTGCTGTTAGCCGGG